AAAAAAATAAACACATCATGGTAAAATTAATACCTTCTCAGCTTCGCATCGAAGCTAAAAAAATAAACACATCATGGTAAAATTAATACCTTCTCAGCTTCGCATCGAAGCTAAAAAAAAATTTGTCCCGACACTTTTTCTTCTACATTTAAACGGCTGCCGTAGTTAAAAAAACACTATTTTTGTGTTAAAATTTTCGATTTTCGATTTTAAATTTTAAATTTTCAACTTAAAAATGCTATAACTTTTTGAAAAATGTATATATCAGCACAAATTTTTTTTTTCTAAATACATTACAAGTACATCTTTCATTTGACATACTTTTTATTAAAATTGGACAATTTCCCCATATAAAGGGGGCGTTCAAAACTTGAAACATTGTATAAAAAATAGAACTTTTTCAACTTAACTTTTGAAAGTGTTCCGGAAATACTGCGTCCTTTAAACATATATCAAATTAAAGCTTATTTTATGTACTATAAAATAAATAAAAAAAATTTGTCCCGAAACCTTATCTACTATGTGCAAATTGCTGTCGAAATTTAAAAAAAAATGTAATATTTGCGATAAAAATCACGTTCTCTAAGGATGTATTTTGTACTTAAAACTGCCATAACTTTTTCAAATATTAACAATTCAAAATAATATTTAATTTAATAGTAATTTTTTAATTTGAGTTAGCTTAAATAGCCATTTTTTTCCCATAACGAAAGCAACAAACATTTGCCGAATCGATAACACTTGTGTCTATCACGCACAGGGTGCGAGGTTCAAATCCGTCTGAGGCCGTCAATATTTTGCCTTTTTTTTTGAGTTAGAATAAAATTTTCAAATTATTTGATATTTATCTCATTTAGATTCAATAACTTCAATAAATATAAAGGATCCTATCACTATAGTCTCCCCTAGTGTGAAGAAATTTTTTATTCACGTTAATTTTACTATGTGGTTCTTTTTGTGGCTACGATTTATTTTGCCAACCCTCACTAGACCTACTTTTTTCAACGATACGTCAAATGATTCATTTAAGTTTATGATATTTAAGTTAATGATTAGTTTAACTTTAAAGTTATTACTCTTAAAAATCAAAAAAATATTCCTTATTCAAATGAAAAGTAGCTTAACCAGCTTTTTCCATACAAACAATTAAAATCATTAATTTTTAATATTCTTAAAGTATTTATTGTCGAATTAGATTTGATAAAAGTATTCAACTACAAAAGTAAATAATTTTACTTTATAATTTATTAATTTTTTTGTAATATGTTGCTATATAAATCATAAATTTAAAAAAAAAATGATTTTTAGTTTCACCTGAATTTAACGATGGATTTTTACAATTATAATTATATTTTATAATACGCTCAATTGAGTAAATATTTTTAACTACTTTGTTTTGATTGGTTCATTTAATTAAAGTAAATTATTAAAATTAATTAAGTTCTGAATATTTCTATTTCAGAATCTTTTTAAACACCAAAAGTTATTAGGAAATGATTACTATTCTTTCTATTTCAGTTATCTATTACGATAAAAATGCAAAAAAATCGAATTTTTCTGATAAATAGTAATTATAAAATTTTCTGATTGCATATTAACCTTAAAAATTTCATTTTTTTCAATTTAATAATGTCTATTTCAAACTTGCAAGTTGAACTATAAGTTATGGTAACAAATTCATTTTTTAGCTTCGATGCGAAGCTGAGAAGGTATTTTTCATTAAAACTTTCACTTTAAAAGACAATAAAAAATAGGTTCAAAATGATTACCTTTAACATATTAAANGTAGGTTCAAATTGATTACCTTTAACATATTAAAAATCAAAATCAGTATTAATTTAATACAATTTTTTTTGTTCTTAATTATTTTTTTTTTATTGTAAATACTTATTTTTTAATAATAAGTAATAATATTAAAACTTAGAAGTAATAGAAAAAGTTTAATTGCATATTTGAAAACATCGCGAAATGTTTATTTAGAAAAGTATATTTTTTTTCTGATGAAAGTTCCTTTTGTTTAGTGTATTTATTCATAAGTAACAAAATTTTTTTATTAAAAAGTATTGCATAAATTCCTTTAAATTTGTATACGCATTAAAAGTATATGAATATACAACTCCTTTTTATTTTTATAATATCTCCGTAAAAATTACAATATTATATTATTGAATACCACTTTCATACTCAATTTAATTATTGTAATTATTATGTACTCATATATTATAATTATAAATCGGGGTAAAATTAAGGGAATAAGTGTTATTGTTGTTTTTGAAATAATCTACCAATTTCATTTTTTTCTATTTAATAATATTTATTTCAAACTTGCAAGTTGAGTTAAAAGTTATGGTAATAAATTTATTTTTTTAATTAAAACTTTCACTTTAAAGGACAAAAAGTAGGTTCAAAATGATTACTTTTAACATATTAAAAATCGATAATAATTTGAAAATAATTAATTATAAAAATTATATAATATATAATTAAAATAATTACTAATCTGGATATAATTAAGGAAATAGGAGTTGATGTTGGGTTGGGTTGGTTACATTTTTAACTTTATAATGCTATAACTCATTGAAAAGTGTACGAATCAACACAATTTTTTTATGAGAAATAATATTTTTTAATAATCCCTTTTTCATTCGACATACTTTATCTTAATCAGGGTATTAATAAGGAACTAGCAGATCATGTAGCTTTTGTAATTATTCACCAATTTCTTAAAATTAAACACTATCTACAGATTTGCATCGAAGCGTTTCTTATGATAGTGATTTTAATCACTGTCAGATTAAATCTATACTGGACCCAACTATGCAACGTCCCCACTATGCTGCGACCCTACTGTGCTGGGTTTTTTTTTATACATCATTAACCTTGACATATAAAACATATATTTTGCTTTTCTTTTGCTAATCAACTTATGATAAAAAATGTTTGATACATTTAAATATTATTTAAGCTATTATTTTTTATTTCAATATAAATTTTCATCTTCTCTAAAATATATATACATAATTTAATTACACGTGTTAATTATTTTGGTTGTGTAAAATGATTAAATATTCATGAATTTCATAATTAATTCTATGTTTATTCTGTATTAGTAAAGTTACTTTTATTTTATTTTATTTGTGAAATATGATCTCTGGATCTAGTATGAAAGTTTCTATTAGTGTATAAAAATGTTGTTACTATTTGTATTGAATGTTTTTTATGCATTTGTTGTATAGGAAAATAAATTCTATTAACACGTTAATTTAATACACAAATACGAATTACTAATATACTAATATTTCTATACATTTTTATTACTATTTACCAAAATATACTCTAACATTGAATGCGTAAAAAACTTCTAGTATAATATACTAGAAGTTATGTATGAATATCATAAATATTATGTATGTGAAAATTAGACATTTTTTTCAGCGTATGAAGTATTGTTCTATCCAACTCTACTTTTTTATGAACTTTTTGTTGTAAAAACTTGTGAGCATAGTTTTCTAGTATTTTTTCTTTATTATATTATTTTAGAATTTCTATATTGTTTTCTATTTAATGTGTTAATATATGCGTGAAAAATTTACTGTACATGTATGTGAATATTCCTATAATAAATAATTTTTATATTATGTTAAACAAATTAAAAATATTTTAATTTTTCAAATATTATAATAAAAGAGTATTCAGTGTCCTTCACATACGGTTATTATAATAATAAAATATTTATTTATAAATATTAATTATATTACAAAATAATATTTCACGTACTATTAACACTAAATAATGTTTATTATACTTTAAATGTATATATTATAAAAAGTATAAAAGAGAGGATTTGTACTCACGATCTTAATTGTTTTATGGATTTTTTGTTAGTTATTTTCGCCACACACTTGAATGTCATCTAAAATCGGCACTACATTAATGTGTTATTAATAATACTTCATGCGTTTACTTGTGATGATTTTCAATTTATTTTTATAAAAAATTTCATATTAAAAAGAGAAGATTATAAAAAAAAATGTTTAGTAGAAAATGTACAAGTAAATGTAGATTGGATGGTAAAGTTGCTATTGTAACTGGATCATGTCGAGGAATTGGTAAAGCTACAGCAAAAGAGCTTTACAAAATTGGTATACAATTTATTTATTCAACAAAATATTTTAGTTTTTAAAAATGTGTAATATATAGAAATATGTATTTAAAACGGGTTCAAATTTTTAATAACTTTGAAATATGAGATAGGATATTAGGACAGCAGTTTTTATAGTTAATTTATGTAGTAAATAAACTAATAAAAATTTATAATTTATTTATTAAAATAAAAAAGGTATATTGTCATATAAGTAATAAAAATTATTTCTAATTAATAATTGAATGTACTGGTATAATAACTTGAACTTTTACTTGGGATTTATTTAAGTATAAACTGCTTTGCGAGTTTTCGAAAAAAATTAACTTAGTAGAATTGCCAATCTCAAAAAGAAAAGTTTAAATACTTAAAAAGTCGTATAGGTATATAATTAAATTATTTTTTTAATTCTCACTAAGAAGCATTATCATAAATAGCCAACTAATGTATTATATAATTTTTTTTATAAATGCAAATCACAAAATTGGGAAGGAAATGGAAAAAAATTTAATCAAGTAGGAAACTAAATTTGTATTGCCTAGTGTACTAGCATAGAAATGCACTGTGGGATTTAATGGGAGAATCATTTACATATTAAATTTTTTTTTTTTTTTTTTTATATAGCATGCTTTATTCTACAAATCTTTTTTTACTCATCAAAATTAGAACGCTATTTTTTTTTAGACATACAACTAATTTTCATAAAAATATACATCTTGGTTAATACATTGTATAGTTTTATTCAAGTTGTTCAATAAGTAGCTCTAATTTACTCCTTTAGTTTGACCTTAAATTACTATAAGACTTTTCAATCTCATAGGTGCAAATGTAATTATGGCATGTATTGATATAAAAGTAGCAGACCAAACTTTGTTGGATATAAAAACAGAAGTACAAGGAGAAGGTTTGGGGACTTTAGTTGTCGAAGAGCTTGATTTGTCATCATTTTCTTCTATAAAAAGATGCGCAAAAAGAATTTTAGAAAAAGAAAATCAAATTCACTTACTAATCAATAATGCTGGTGCGTGTGCATTAAATAATAAAAATTAAGAATATCTTATAGTAGACCACTTAAATTAAAAAGAATTGTTTGTAATAATTAATATAAAAGGCTTTACTTATTAACTTCAGAGACCCATAATTTAAAGTATTCAGATTATTTTTAAAAATACTTTTTATTTCAGGAATTTGAGTTGTATTTAATTTTAGTAATATTTTTTTCATCGCTGTCAAGTACATAAAATATAACAAAAGCAATGTACATGTTTTTTATTTCAGGTATAGTGATGCGTCAAAAAATTTTAACTGAAGATGGTTTTGAAACACAATTTGCAGTTAATTATTTAGGACATTTCTTATTTACCTGTCTTTTGTTGCCAAAAATAATTTACTCATCGCCTGCTCGAATCATCAATGTGTCATCGACGGGCCATACTTTTTGTTAGTTTAATTTATAAAATATAAAATTTATTTTTAAATTGTAATAATAAACAAATGATAGAGTGAAATATTTTTTTCAGTTAAAAGTTATGATTTTGATGACATTAACTATGATTTCAAAGATTACTACCCAACAGAAGCCTACTGTCAAAGCAAACTTGCTAATATACTTTTTACGAAAGAATTAGCAATTAGACTTGCAGGTATTGTGAAAAATTGTTTTTGTATTACCACTTAAACATTTTGCAGCCTCAGTTTGCTTTTTCCGTGCACACGACTTGTTTTTTATACGTCGAAGAATTTTATCATGTCGAAATGAAGACGTGATAAAATCTTTTGCACATTCCTTTATCAATCACGTTATGGTTCAACGAGGTTTCTGAAAAATTGTAACGGACTCTTAACAGTAATACCTTTATCATAAACTAATTAGCTTAATACCAAAACCACTTACAAAACAAAATTAAATTGATAATATTTACATTTTAGCTTCGATGCGAAGCTGAGAAGGTATTAATTTTACCATAATGTGTTTTTTTTTTTTTTTGTCTGTTACCACTTTTTCTCAGCTCTCGCCGAACCGATTTCTTTCAAAAATACGTCAAAAGATCACAAATCGTATCTAGTCGAAGACATTACCCTCAAAAATTGAAAAAAATCCCCTCGTTCCCCGTAAATGGGGGAAACCTCCAAAAAAATTACAAATTTAAAAATCGCTAATTTTCGAAATTTTTTCAATTTTTTTTACTAAAAACTGCCGTAACTTTTTCAAAAATGAACATATCAATATAATTTTTTTTTATATAGATGCTTGATGTCTTTACCTATCATTTGGTATAATTTTTTGTAAATTTGACACTTAACCTGCCAATAGGGAGGGATTTAAAATGACAACTTTTTCATAAAAAATTATTTTTTTCAACTTGATTTTTGAAAATGTTCCGGAAGGTCTAACACTTTTATATACATCTTAAATTAAAGCTAATGTAATTTACTTTATTATGCAAAAAAAAAAATTTCGGACTTTATTTTATCTTCACGGTGAAAATGGCTACCGAATGCTATTATTGTGTGAAAATTCTCGATTTTATTTTTTACATTTTTAACTTTATAATTCTATGACATATTGAAAAGTGTATGGATTAACATTATTTTTTTGTGAGAAATAATATTTTTTAATAATCGCTTTTTCATTCGACATACTTTATCTTAATTAGGATATTAATAATGAACTAGCAGATCAAGTAGCTTTTGGAATAATCCACCAATTTTTTATAATTAAACACTATCTAAAGATTTGCATCGAAGCGTTTTATTTTGATAGTGATTTTAATCACTGTCAGATATCATTATACTTTATCCATTTATGCCACGTCACCACTGTGCTGCGACCCCCCTGTGCTGGGTTTTTTTTTTAAAGTTACATATAATTTTTAATGTAATTCTTCTTCTTTTTCCTCGCCTTAATCCCAACTACTTGGGCTCGGCAACCTTATCCCGAACTTGACACGATCTCCAAAATTATCTACGCTGACATCATCCGCCCTCATATTGCATTCAATTACATCCCTCCATCTCTTTTTCTTCCCTCATCATTTATTTTCATAACTGTTCTTATAGCTTCTGATTCCTATCTTTTCATAACATGTCCAAACTATCTACCAGTCCCTTGTTCCACGAAATATCCTCTAATATTTCTTTTGGATATTCCATATTCAATAATTTTTTAAAAAAAATCATCATCACTCGACAGTACCCTTTTATGAAAACTTACATAGTGATAATCATTAAACCTATTTTCACTTACTTTTTCAAGTAATAATTTTTAATTTAATTATATTTGAAATATTATTTATATCCATCCCTTAAAGTATGTAACTTAATAACTTTAAAAAAATGACTAATCGATAGTAAATTTTGATAAATTATTTCTTATAGAAGTTATGAATTTTTAACTTTATAATAACATGTATTAGGTACAGGAGTTAATGTGTATTGCGTAAATCCAGGAATAGTACAAACGGAAATGCAAAAGCCTTCTGAAAACATTATTTACCAATATTACTTTTTTTTTGGAATTTTTGGATATTTTCTGTATTATATTACATATTTCTTAATAAAAACTCCTTATCAAGGAGCGCAGACTGCAATTCATTGTGCTGTGGATGAAAAAGCAGGTACAGAAACAGGACTTTACTACAGGTATTTGGGCATTTTGATTTAATTGAAAAGCGAAATTAATTTTTATATTTTATATAGTGAATGTCAAGTTAAAGAACCATCTTCTGTAGCAAAAGATATTATTCTAGCAAAGAAACTTTGGAAAAAGAGTCTAAACATGGTCGGCCTGACAAATTTTGACATGTTTAAATCCAGTGAAATAGTTCCAACTGAGTTATTAGATATTGAAATATAATATTTGATGATCAATTTTTAATTAAAAATATCGTTCTTATGAGGGATAAATCACAATTAAATTTACTGTTAAAATTAATACTCTTAATTGTATATAAAAGAGTGTCTTAATCCTGTTTTGACAATTTAATAACTTTTGATCAAATAAATATTATTTATTTATTTTTTTTAAATAATTTTTGACATGTTAAAAGAATATATTTTTATTATTTATCACAAATAAAAAAATAATAGTAAAAATAATAATAATACAATTTTTTTTATTTTTCCAAAATATCAAAATTTCAAAATATGGCTATTTTTACTATTAGAAAAAAATTCGATGGATCGTTAACAATTTTAGGATAATTACTGATTCAGATATAACTATTTCAATACATATAATAAAAAAATTATAAATTAGTTGTTACTTTTATGGAAAAACATATAAAAAATGAAGGACTTGATACAAAACTTTTCATTTGATATTATTTAAGAATAAATGGTCTACAAGAAATTTTCAGTAGTCGAAAACATACTTTTTTATACCTATATTTTGTGCTGATTTCAAACCTACAATTAGATTTTTTCAACCGCCACTAATTTTTGATATTATTAATAATTAGTTAAAAACGAGTATTAACATATTTAAAAAAACCCAGCACAGTGGGGTTGCGACATAGTGGAGACGTTGCATAGTTAGGTCCAGTATAGATTTAATCTGACAGTGATTAAAATCACTATCATAAGAAACGCTTCGATGCAAATCTGTAGATATTGTTTAATTTTAAAAAATTGATGGATAATTACAAAAGCAACATCAATATCTATTTCCTTAATTATACCCAGATTAGTAATTCTTTTAATTATATATTATACAATTTTTAAAATTAATTGTTTTCAAATTATTATTGATTTTGATTTTTAATATGTTAAAAGTAATCATTTTGAACCTACTTTTTATTGTCCTTTAAAGTGAAAGTTTTAATAAAAAAAATGAAATTGTTAAGATTAATATGCAATCAGGAAATTTTATAATTACTATTTACAGTACATTTATCAGAAAAGTTAGATTTTTCTACATTTTTATCGTAATAGATTACTTAAATAAAAATCATAGTAATCATTTATAATTAACTTTTGGCGTTTAAAAAGATTTTACAATGGTAATATTCAAAACTTAATTAATTTTAATGATTTACTTTAACTAAATGAACCAATCAAAACAAAGTTGTTAAAAAGATTTACTCAATTGAGCGTATTATAAAATATGATTATAATTGTAAAAATCCATCGTTAAATTCAGGTGAAACTAAAAATCATTTTTTTTTTAAATTTATAATTTATATAGCAACATGTTACAAAAAAATTTGGAATATTATAGACTGGTACTAGCACACACAAATAGTGTTAAAAAATTAATAAATTACAAAGTTTAATTATTTACTTTTGTAGTTGAATACTTTTATCATATCAAATCTAATTCGACAATGAATACTTTAAGAATATTAGAAATTAATGATTTTAATTGTTTGTATGGAAAAAGCTGGTTAAGCTATTAGCTTCGATGCGATGATGTGTCTATTTTTTATTATTATTTTTTTTTTTTTGATATGATTGCTTAAATATAAAAAGGGATAAAAAGTTAATTAAATTGTATTGTAGAATATGAATGTATATTTTGTTATTGATGTCTAATAGTGAATGTTTTTATAGGCTACTGAAAAATGAGTGGTGTATGTATTAGAACAACGCTAATACTTCTGGTTGAAGCCGTAAATAATTATAAATATTATTTAAATAAGAATTTATATTTGTATAAAAATTATAATGACACTGTTACTAGTAAATATTAGACTACTAGACCATACCGGAACACTTGACTCATTTATCAATAAAGCCTCACGGCTTTTATAAACCCCCAGATAATGAGAGTAGTGGAAATCTCACAATTGAGATTGTCTCATGTCTTTTCTAGAGAACGGTTTCTGATCACAATTTAGAGGAAATTTTGTATACCATGATATTATACCACAAAGTATAATTTTATCTTTTAATATTTAATTATTTAAATATTTTTCATACTTCTACTGTCTCTTTATCTGGTCCTACTGTTTTATTTTTTTTTTCATTGATGCCATAACCTCCCATACCTCTTTCTCACTAATTAAATCTACCAGTCCTTCGTTTCACGAGATATCCTCTAATGTCTCTTTTAAAATACTCTTACCACCTTTTTCATACACTATCATCACTCGATAGCACCCTCTTATCACTTTTTATACACCTTACATAGTAATAATCTTTAGACTTTTTTTATCTTACTTTTACGAGTCTATAGACCTCTTTTTCATCGTCCTTTGTTCCTAGCATATCATACAACTCATTATACCTCTTAAATTTTGCCTTACTTATTGCACAATTGGCTTCTTTGAACAAACGTTTATACTCTATCCAATCTTCTCTTCTTTTGCTCTTCTATCATACTTTAAACTAGTTTTTCTTACTTTTTAATTAATAACTTAATAAATTCATCAATTTTAATTTGGAGTTATTTAATATTATAAAGTCTTTGACTTATATCTAAAATCTATATGTAACAGTAATGAGTTGCATTAAAAAAGTCATAAGTATCTTATAAAAAATAACATTTTCCATGAATCTTTATGAAAATAGGTAAATTTTATTGTTGGTTAAAAAATAATTGTTGATAACTTAACCTTATTTATGTATTATACATGTTACTCTTTGTTTTGTTCTTAGTGGATTCTGTTTTTTTTACAATACAAGATCTTTTTCAAAGCATGAAATTTGGACATTTTTTTTTTAATTCATCCGAAAAGGAGAAAAATTGTATATGAAAATTATCTAATTAGTTAATCTCTTATGTTAACTAAATTAAGTACAACATATATCTTGACAAAATATTATTAAATCATTCAGTGTCAAAATAATGTTTCATAAAAAAAAATTTTGTATAAATAAGATTTTAAATATTTAAGGGGGAAATTTATAAAATCGAAATAAAATTATGTTTAGCTTGTGTTGAATATCCAAAATTGTTTTGATGGCAACACTGGAAAATAATTCTTATAGTGATAGTATATCTAAATAGGATTGTGTGACTATATCGTACTTAAAACTATTGGTATCATATTATGTAGAATCAAAATTTCGTATTAGAAGTTATAAGTGTTTATTTATTGATTGATTGTGTTATTTATTGAATTACAAATGGTTCAGTAGTAAGATTTAGATTCTACTTTTTTTTAGTTTAGATAAATATAAATGTATGGATGTTTGATATTCACTTTTGAAATGAAAAATTCATAAAAGGTTTTATTACTATTATACATAATAGTATATAATTAACAATGGATGTTCCTAAATCAAAAAAAATTTGCTGCTCTTATTGCGTTAAAACAGTTAAAAGTGTTCCTGTGATATTCATTTTATGTGTACTTGCATGGTCATATTATGCATATGTGTATCATTTATGTTTAAGTAAGATAATTTGTATAAAATAAATGTTTTTAATGTATAAATATAGTTTTACACATTTTGATATTTCAATTTAATTATTTTATTATTTTGAGTTAAATATGTTTATTTTAAGCTATACAAAAAAAGAAAACTTAGTCATTGATAATACCAATTTTAAATTTATGAAATCAACTATTTATTTTGGTAATTTTTATTAGCAAAGACTGTTTCACTATTGTTATATTTTATTTTTTTAGATGAAGTCAAACCAGTGGATATAAGAGTAATCTTCCTTCTAATATACCATACTATTTTATTATTATTTTTATGGTCCTACTTCAAAACAATTTTTACATCGCCAAGCGGAGCACCACAAAAAGTATTATTTTTATTATCCTATAAATAATGTTTAATCACATGCCACATAAAACCATATAGAGGTAAAATTTCTTATAACTAAATCATTAAAATTTCACAAGTAATTATTACAATTCGAGTAGTAGGTATAATTATTTATTAAGAAAACTTACATACTTGTATCAGTATATTGTTCTATTACCCTAGTGTAATATTTCTTACTCACTGGCAGTTTAACATCTATAAGATTTCTTAAAAATAATTCTCCAATTAAACTTAAAAGAAAACATATTTTTTTTATTACTCATCAATGAATGAATTTTTAGCCAGTAAATTTATCATTAATATTTGGTAACATTCATTCCATTCTTCCAAAAAAATTATCTCTAGGAATTTTCTTCTCAGCTCTTGTTAGTAAAAACTTTATTATCTTTCAAATTTTTCTATCAGAATTTATTTAAATGTTTTACTTTTTTTAAACAAATTTTTTTTTACTTACTATTAATAAGTTCAATTGTACAAAAAGGTTAATAGATAAAGAGATAAACTTACATTATTATCAAAAAATTTTAGGAAGATTCTAATTAAATTGTATGTCAGTAGAAACGTGAATTATAAAAATTAACATATTCTTAAAAAAAGAATTAAATTTTAGAAATACAAAAATAACATTTCTATTTTCTAATAATATCATCTATGTTATATTTTATAGAAAATAATACCTTAGGTGAAAACATCATTATTATGTACAAATAAAAAAAAATTCCTTTTTATTTTCCAAAAACAGAAACATTAAGCCACTTATTTTTAAATACTTAATATGTTAAGAACTTTTAATTATTTAATTTTAAAAACATTTGAAGCTAACTATTATAAATATTTTATTGAATGTAACTTTTTATAGAATGCTATAATTAAATTATCCCAAATTGGTTAATCCATTTTAGTCATCATTATCAATAAACATACATTTTATAATACAATTTAGACTTCTTATAACTTCTTAAATCCTCTATGAAGTAATTAATACAATTTTTTTTTCAGTTTAAACTTTCTGATGAAATGTTTGAAGAATTTATCAAACAACCTATCGATTTGGCACGACAAAGTATGGTTTTGCGGGAAGTTGCAAAGGATTTACCAATCATGACATTTACTAATTCTGATGGTATTTTCATTATATTTAATTTTTAAATATTTAATGAATTTTTATCATATAAAATATTAGAGGTTTTTTTTTCAGATATAAGATACTGTGATAAATGTAGAATAGTGAAACCTGATCGTGCTCACCATTGTAGTGTATGTCGCAAGTGTGTACTTAAAATGGATCATCATTGTCCATGGGTTAGTAACTGTGTGTCATATTCAAATTATAAATATTTCATACTTTTCTTGGCATATGGTCTTCTGATGTGTATCTATGTTGCTTCTACAACAATACAATATGTTTTAAGATACTGGGATGCTACTTCTGATATGGTGAGATTAAGATTATTTTTTAAACTACGTTATTATCTTATTTTATATTTTAAAAATTCTATCTTTACAGAGGTTGCAAGGTGCAGCATATAAAATTCATATAATATTTTTATTTTTTATTGCTTCTATGTTTTCAATCAGTTTGTTTTCATTACTTGCTTATCATATTTACCTTGTTACTAAAAATCGGACTACATTAGGTTTGTATATTAATGTTTTCTTTTTGGTAAATAATGTATTAAATTACCTATTTTTATATTAGAGTCCTTTCGTCCTCCTAAGTTTACAGAGTGTTATGATAAAAATGGATTCAACCTAGGTTGTTTTAAAAATATACAGGAAGTCTTTGGCAGAGAAGTTTTATTATGGCCTATTCCTATAAATACCAGGTAAGCAAGATTATCAAATACTTTCATATTATATACACTATTAAATCATTTAAAAACCCAACTCAACAATTTTATTGTAAATTTGATTAATTTTATTTCTATTTTTTTGTAAATGTTATACATGATACTTCCTGAAATTTATGTCAGTTAAAAATACTTTAACACATAAAATGAGTATGTAGAGAAGTCAGGGAGAGAGTTATAAGTATACACTTATACTAGCTGTACTCACCTTCGCTACAAACCTACTCTATGTATTAAAATGCTTATAATTCAATAAATTATTATCCTAAAGTTGATATCAATCCATTTAAATGTTTTGTTATAAAAAGCTAAATTAAATTTCAAAAAAAATAAAAACCAATTATTTTTATTTTTTTTATTATTAAAAATAAATAATAACAAATATAATGTTAACATAGTCCAAAACTGTAAACATAAAAAAAAAATTAATGCAAAATATTAACTGGAACAAAAGTTATTTAATATGTCAAAACCCAGTGGGACACTGTAGTATACATACAACTCAAAAACAAAAAAAAATTACTATCAACTTTTTATAAACAACTTGATAAAAAAAAAATAATAATAATAATTAATTTAATAAAAGTAAATTTTATTTCTAATAATTCCAATTGATTAAATATTAAGAAAACTTTATAAGAACTGTTTAAATGTATTAAAAAAATGATGCAATAAATTTAGATAATTTTTTATCATCATAATGTTCAATTCTATTTAAATTGAATTGTGAAAATATTCGGACACTTCTTTATCACCATTATGATTTAGGGTAACATTTTTGGATTTAGTATGTACTAATTAATGTTAAAATTTAAATCACATATTTTAATACATATTTTATGTTAAAATTTTAATGTATTACTTTTATATTACCATATTATTATAACTAATTGATATATTGTCAACTTTTACTACTGCTTTGATATTTATTCTTTATTTTCTTTCTTTAAACAAACATTTGTTTGTTTAATAAATAACAATTACATTTTTTTTTAATGTTGATTAAACTTAATAAGAATAAAAAGAATGAATGAGTATATATAATTGTATAAATTAGAAAGGTAGTATTTAATCTTAGTTATAATTTACTTTTTGTATTATGACTTTAAAATAATCATTCCAGAGGTTAAATTTTATTCTTATAATATTCATTCAACTTATATAATTTAAATATTTTAGTTTTTAAAAATAGTTTAATATTATACCCATACAAAAGTCTTTTACATCTAATAATATTGGGAATTTTTTGCAACATAGATGCCTCTACTATGTTGCCTGTATTTTGATTTTTGTTTGTTTTAGTTTGGGGGATGGAGTGAGTTTTCCATTGGCAAGCAGTCCAAGATCCAATGATAGAATTAGGCAATCAAATAACAAAGCCAGGAATTCATTTTCTGTTTAAAACATTTATGTATTCTAAAAGTTTAACATTTAGTTTAAAATATACCTATAACAAATTTATAGCAAAATATAGGCTTATTCTTTATTGTATTGTGTTAATTTCTTATAATGTACAGTAAATTTAAATGTTAGAAAGAATTTATTGTACATAAAAATAATATTAATTAATATTGTAAGCCTTTAAATTTATTTATTCTGACTTAAATATGGTGAGCAATTTTATATTTTTCAAATTTTGTATATTTTGGTAATAATTACTTAATAATTATAGTTTTATTTTTGAATTTGTATTGACACTTTATATTATATTATATTATAATTATTTTTAAAAAAACATAAATTTCTAAAGTATTTTTTTTTTTATTTGGATTTAATAAAATCTTAACCCTCTTTTATAGTGTTGTAAAACATTAACATAAATAATAACTATTTGTTGCTTTTTTAGTTAAAAATAACACTATTTAATTTTTTTCTAATTGCATGTATTAATAAATGTGGTTCTTCACAGCCTTGGTGATGGGGTTTCATTTCCACTTAACAGAAAGATACCAGAAGCTCAAAGCCTACTACACACAGACTTTTATGATCAGAAAACATCTATAGGTAATTGATTTAGTACATATTTTTTATATAGGCTTAATTATAATTTATAAAACTTTAAGTTCTTATAAATTTTAAATAATTAAAAACTATCAACTGTACAATTAAGGCTAACTAGAATTTTCTTGGAAGTTCAAGTTCAAAATTTAGTTATATTTTTAAAATAATAGTAAATGTTTTATAAGTATAAGAATTTTAAGATTATTAAAAAAGTAATTGTTGTTATTAGCCAATATCGTCATTTATGAATCATTACAAGCTTTAAGTTAATTATTATTTTGTACTTATATTTTCAATTTCAGTAAAATAAGTTTTTGCATAACAAACAATATATTCAGGATTTTAAGTATTAATAATATAATAAGATGCACTGGTATAAAATTTAGTTCCTGTTTTTTGTACAATATTAAGTATTATAAGCATATTTGACTTCACAAACTATGGCCCAGTTACTAATAATTAATATTATTGTATAATTATATTATAAACATAGTTTGTTGCGTTTACAAAATTACTGAATACAAATTAATTAAGGTGATGAAATAAGTTCAAAAATAATAAATAAATAATCTCAAATTTAGCTTAAAGCGAGAAATGTATAGATTTAGTTTTACTTAAAACTACTTAAAGTTAGTTAATTTAAAGATATAAGAAATACAGTAAAATTTTGTTTATCCAGACTCAATTATAATTAGACAGAGTTATGTTAAAGAACCATAATGTCCAATAACCTTAGGCACTTTGTAATTGTCTGGTAATTATTTTCAATACCCTGTCTCATCATAATTGTACATAATGGAGTTCAGAATAGTGAGGCTTCATTGTACTTGAAAATGTGATATTTAATTAATATTATTACTAAAATGGAAAACTTCATACACAAATTCAGATTTATTTATTTTTTGGCTATTTAATCTAATTGAAGGATTTTATGCTGTAACCAATTATCAAAATAGATATAACTCTAATTGATAATAATTTATTATGAATAATTAAAAAACTGATATCATAAAAAAATATGAATAGTATACAGATTTTGGTTGTTAAATTATTTAGTTTTTTTTTTTTCTTAAATTATGTGAAAATAACTTGTTATTACACTATATTCTTCAGTTTTATTGAAGAGAATAGAAAGATAGATCTGTTCTACAAATTTTTTTTTTATTATATATGTATTATTTAATTAAATAAAATCTTTGTATACTACAATCAAAATATTTATTAAGTATTACTAAACAACTACATTAATTTGCCCTGAATATATGAAATAAAAAAATCTAGTGGTTATCAGGAATTATTAAAACCTGTTATTGATTTAACCACTAATCAAAAACGTTTCAATGTTAAATTATGAAAAATGGTTTATCTTCCATAGCTCTGTGACTTTTTAGAAAGATTTATTATTCACTAATTAGTGTACTAATGTTAAAACCAAATTCTCAATTTATATTTTATCTGTGCATAAAATAAATAATTTGTACAACTTTTTTTACTTTATTAAAAAAAAAATAAATTTAGTTCTATAAATTATATTATTTTTTTTTTAAACTTTTGCAGATATTGAATCAACCCAACGGGTATCTTCAGTTTTATATGGGTAAAAATTTGTTATAAGTTGTATAAAATATTTTTTTTCAATAACTAATTATTATTAAATACAAATTTTTCAGTGATATCTACTATCCAAGTATTGTAGAACAAAACCTTGTTAAATGTCAAGATCTTATAGATATTTGATGTAATAGTATTTATATAAATTTTTATTTATGTAAAATATTTTGCTCTGTGATATAAATTTTTAGCCTGTAATTATTTTTTTTTTTTTATTATTACTAATTACAAACTATTAAAATATTTATTTGATATATTTCAATATTTCTACTGATTATTTTAAATAATTTATTAATTTTTGCAGTAAATTTAATAATTATGATTAATTCCCTGTGGTCACTATAAATCATTTTTTATAGACCCCTTGATTAAAAATAAGATTTTGAGTAAACAATTATCATCAAAACGTAATCCGTGATTTTAATAGAAAATTGAAGTATAGTGATTAATTACCTATAATCTGTATAATTGAGATGTTAAAAACAGAAATTTAAATGAAAATAAAGGTCATCAAAATATAATCGCAGTTACTATGTAATCAAAAATTTTTTTACAAATACATTCAAATTTTTAAATCTATCTTTCCTTTCAAATAGACTAAAAGTACCATTACAATATCTTTTAGTACCGTTGAAACTCCTTCACTGAAACATGTCACAATATGTTAAGAGGATCATGTTTTAGTATCTTTCCAAAGTTATTTGCCAGAATAATATCTTTTGCTACAGAAAATGGTTCTTTAATTTGTTAGTTACTAAATAAAATAATTTTGTTTTTCAATTAATTAAAAATGTCCAAATGCGTGTAGTAATGTATTGTTTCTGTGCTACTTTAATAATCTATAGAACAATAAAGATATTTATATGATAGGTATCATAAATATTTGTTTAAAAATTCAAATAAAAATGTTTTTATAGTAATTAACATTATCGGTTAAATGTTTCGGTTTTAACTATTCATGGATGCACATAATACACATTTACTCCTGTACCTAAATATATAACAAAGTTATCGAATTTATGGCAAAATAATGAGTTGAACATAAAATGTGTATGAAGTGTATACGGAAAAAACTATTTGAGTCACTTATTTTCTATAATATTTAAGTGGTAAAAAATTATTTTTGTCGGAATGTGTATTTTAAGCTGTCGAGTTAAAAGGCGTCGAAAATTTTAGCGTAATTGAAAATAACTAGATAACTAGGTATTGAAATTCGAATTAAATAAAAATAAATTAAACTATTAATATTTAAATTTTACAATAATTGTTTGAATGTCTACCAGCTATAAGATAAAATCTACAAAAATTTCAATACTTAGAAAACCATACAAACCTTGTTAGTTTTGTTTAAAAAAAAACATGAACTTGTTACAGAATATATAGTTTTATAATATAGAACCGTCTGACATAATTGTATTGAAAAATGTTTCTATATAAAAATACAAGTAATTATAATTATTTTTGGAAATTAAATCTTTTAGCCCTCCCCAAAGTGCGCCAATGAACATTTCCATGGGCGTCATTAGGTTGGTTGGATGTGCCCGCACCCTTAATTTTAAAAACAGTCCCAATTGGCCTGCAAAAATAATGCACCAATTTTTTATACATCAATTCAAATTTCAAAAACGTATCATCATGGTTACATGGGTCAATAAACAAATATTCTGTTAACAATTGAGTAAACAATAAATATATAATACTGAACAATTGATAATCGTACCGGATGCAAGATATTGATATTGATGTTCGTAACAGTTTTAGCTTCGATGCGAAGCTGAGAAGTATTAATTTTACCATGATGGATTTATTTATTAACACGCTTATATTAGTTTCACCTGTATGTATGTAACTCTCCAAACGCCACGCGTTATCGCATATTCCGTCGTCTAGACTAAACTGTCATAACGCATTCACCCCACCCCGCGCCTCGCTCGTCGCACGCCGGCAATACTATTCCTGTATAAATTTATTTTTGGTTATTGTACCCGTACACACGTGCGTGTCAAAAATATTATATATATATATAAACAAATTTTTATTTTGACTGACCATTATCATCTGCGTGCATACGGCTTACGTAAATATTCCTACCGCCGTTTATACCTCAGGTATAACGTTAGTCCGACCGGCATGCCCACAAAACATGACTGTACCTAATGCATGATACGTTTACGTACTTAAGTCGCTTTACATGTATATATATATTCTAATTACTATTAAAAATATATAATAACACACTTTATTCTTATTTAGAGATATAGAACTCATTCATTCCGATTACAAAGGATGATTCCAGTATCGTCATTTTTCGTCACTACCTCCATGTTCCGGGAGTGGGTAATTTACGCTCCTGCTGCTTTCCTTGGATGTGGTAGCCGTTTCTCATACTCGCTCCCCAGAATCAAACCCTGATTTCCCGTTACCCGATACAACCATGATATTGATATTAATTACTATCATAACATGAAACTAAAAAGTGAAAAATAAATATAGTTTAAAAAAACACGCTTTTAAAGCACATCGAACTAAAAAGTTACCTTTATCATAAACTAATTAGCTTAATACCAAAACCACTTACAAAACAAAATTAAATTGATAATATTTACATTTTAGCTTCGATGCGAAGCTGAGAAGGTATTAATTTTACCATAATGTGTTTTTTTTTTTGTGTGTCTGTTACCACTTTTTCTCAGCTCTCGCCGAACCGATTTCTTTCAAAAATACGTCAAAAGATCACAAATCGTATCTAGTCGAAGACATTACCCTTAAAAATTGAAAAAATTTCCCTCGTTCCCTGCAAATGGGGGAAATATCCAAAAAAATTACAACTTTAAAAATCGGTAAATTTTGTCATTTTTTTCACTTTTTTGTCTTAAAAATACCATAACTTTTTCAAAAATAAACAAATTAACATAATTTTTTTTTATACTAAAACCTTAGGTATTTCCCTTTCATTTGATATAATTTTTTTGAAAATCTAACACTTAACCTGCTCATTGGGGGGGATTTAAAATAGCAACTTTTTTACAAAAAATCATTAAAATTAATTCAGTTCTGGATATTATGAATCTTTTCAAACACCAAAAGTTACTAGGAAATTATTACTATTACTTCTATTTAAGTTATCTATTACGATAAAAATGCAAAAAAATATTGAGCTTTTCTGATAAATTTACAATAAATAGTAATTATAAAACATTCTAACTGCATATTAATCTTAATGATACAATTTTTTTAATTCTCATAAAATATTCTATTTAATGTCAATTTCAAACTTGCCAATTGATCTAAAAGTTATGGTAAAATAAATTATTTTTTTTTATTATAAACATTTACTGTTTGTTACTATAAAAAAATGCACTGGACTACAAGGAACATTCATCAGAAGCAAAAATATACTTTTCTAAATCAACTTTTCGCGTTGTTTTCAAATCTGCAATTAGACTTTTTCTATCACTTCTAATTTTTTATATTATTACTAATTACATATAAAATAATAATTAAAAGAAAAAAAAAATTGTTTTCAAATTATTACTGATTTGATTTTTAATATGTTAAAAATAATCAGTCCAAATTTTCATTTTTAATCTATTTTATTGGTTCTTTAAAGTTGATGAAAAATTTTTGATAAAGATTTATGAATGTAAACAAAATTGAATATATTACCATAACTTTTAGCTCAATTACAAGTTTAAAATTGACATCTAGGCCAGTCAACAAAGGAAAAATTGCGGAAAAAATTTCCAACCAAATTTTGTTTTTTTAAAAGTTGAACTAAAATTACATATTTTAATATGACATACTAATTGGAATTGAGCTTTTTTTTACAGCCTCGCAAAAGTTCAAAAATATGAGCTTTTTTAATTTTCTCAAAAAATATTTAACTTACAAAAAAAAGTTTCGTACAAAAGTTGTTTAAAAGACAATTATAAACAAAAAAAGTATNGTTTAAAAGACAATTCTAAACAAAAAAATTATGTTATATTTTTTCATTTAAACAAATATTTTTCGAGTTACATTACATTTAATATGAGTACTAAAATTTATATTCCATTTTTTTCATTTTACGGTTACTTTTTATCATGTTACACTTACGTTAGACACANATTACTTTTTATCATGTTATACTTATATTAGACACTTTGTTATAAATGCATATGTGTGTATGTGTGAGTTTATTTATTTATAGTATCATTTAAGTGTAGTGTATATTAATATACAACCGATAGAGTAGGTAATTGATTTGACGCTATATTGTTTAAACTCAACTAAACGCTAAATTGTACATTCCGAAACTATAATCATATTATGTCAATTGCCACCGGAATTATTTTTCTTTTTCTTTGCCTTAATCCCAACTACTTGGGGTCGACCACCCTTATCCTAAGCTTCCACTTGACACGATCTCCCACATCTTCTACGCTCANCCACTTGACACGATCTACCACATATTCTACGCTTATGATTTTTAGTTTCACCTAAATTTAACGATGGATTTTTACAATTATAATCATATTTTATAATACGCTCAATTGAGTAAATCTTTTTAACAACTTTGTTTTGATTGGTTCATTTAGTTAAAGTAAATCATTAAAATTAATTAAGCTTTGAATATTACCATTGTAAAATCTTTTTAAACGCCAAAAGTTAATTATAAATGATTACTATGGTTTTTATTTAAGTGATCTATTACGATAAAAATGTAGAAAAATCTAACTTTTCTGATAAATGTACTGTAAATAGTAATTATAAAATTTCCCGATTGCATATTAATCTTAACAATTTCATTTTTTTTATTAAAACTTTCATTTTAAAGGACAATAAAAAGTAGGTTCAAAATGATTACTTTTAACATATTAAAAATCAAAATCAATAATAATTTGAAAACAATTAATTTTAAAAATTGTATAATATATAATTAAAAGAATTACTAATCTGGGTATAATTAAGGAAATAGATATTGATGTTGCTTTTGTAATTATCCATCAATTTTTTAAAATTAAACACTATCTACAGATTTGCATCGAAGCGTTTCTTATGATAGTGATTTTAATCACTGTCAGATATCATCTATACTTGTCCCATCTATGCCTCGTCCACACTGTGCCTCGACCCCACTGTGCTACCGTTTTTTTNGACCTAACTATGCAACGTCTCCACTATGTCGCAACCCCACTATGCTGGGTTTTTAAATATTAGTTAATGGTGGATTTAAACATAGTAAAAAATTATATCAAATTTTTTTAAAGTAAGGGGTTCGGTTGCACATCTTGACCCTCCCCAAATGATGCTCCTGCAAAATTCCTTTACTCTCTTCCGCCTACCATAGCTTTTCTTTTTATTACATTTATATCCTATGGCCCGCATTTTAAAACATGTTTAATTTATTTTTCTCAGAAGTTAAAAAAGTAATCATACAATTTATCAACCCATTAAACTTTAATTAAAAAAACTTAAGTTGACACTATTTTAAAGGGGTGAAAGCAGGGATAGAATAATTTTAGCTTCGATGCGAAGCTGAGAAGGTATTAATTTTACTATGNTTTTTATGCTTTTAAAAATATTGCGTGAGGCACAATAAATTAATCACTTTGTATTATACATGATGTTTAATAAGAAAAATAAAAGGTTTATACTTTTCCAATTTTTGGTATCTATTGTTTTATATCTTACTTTTTAAACACCATATTTAAAAATAAATTTTTTTCTATTCCTTTATAGAATAAAATATATTAAAAAATGTTATATTATACAATTATGACAAATAATATCATTTATATTATTTATATATCAATAATTATCATTAAACAAAATATAATTTCATTAAATTTACGATAAACTGAATATTTACTTTTTAGTTATCACTATGTAACTATTGGCTGTATATTAAAAGTATTTTTAATGAAAATAAGGTAAATTTTATTATTTTTTATTATTTATGTAAATACTGCCGTGACCAAAAAGAAATGACCACTATTTCCATTTGTCGAGAAAATTACTGACATTTAACTAACCAGTAATTCAAATAGCATATAATTACCTAGAATTGTATGATATACTATAAAATAAATATAGCATTATAATATATAGACTTGAATAATACCCCTTGCTTTATAATATAATTTATTTATCAAAAAATAGAAAAATTAATTTAATGTTAAGTATTAATATCTTTGTTAATTTAATCTTATTTCCATTTTTCAAAAAAAAGAAAAAAATAACAATATGGTAATTAATTAAATTTCCCGAACAGATTTCTATTACTGTGATTCTTTTGAGCTTTTAAATATCTAAATATTTATAATTCATCAAAAAATACTATGTCGTACAATACATTTTTCATTGATAAATGTAAGATGCGAAATGCAAAGCATTAGGCATATTACGACAGATATTAAAGTTAAAGAAAAAAATACTTTTTTTGAATAAAAATGACAAAATTCAAAAACATTTAATAAATTGTTGTTGTACAAAGACTTATTTAAAAATCTGTTTTAGAATGTAGTGTAAACTGCATAGGCGTATTAAGAAAGAGGTAGTTTAAAATTAAGGAACCAATCCCATAATTTTTTTTTCAAAAATATTTGTTTTGACTTTAAACCAGTATAAGTTTTTAAAAATAAATTTTTCTTTTTTTTGTTCATCTTCTGAAGTCATAAAAAAGAGGTTTGGAGTGAGGAGTCCCTCACTAAATAAATCTAATTTGAAACTTTTTTTCAATTTCAATTTAATTAATTTCTGATTATTAATATATAATTATTAATTATATAATAATTATAATTAATATAATTATTCTAATTATAAATACATAAATTTATAAAATACATATAGATATTTTAAGTACACATTGAATTATAATAAGTAAAGCTATAATTCATAATTTTATATTTTTTAATAATATAATCAATAATTAAAAAAAAAGTGTAACTAATTAAATTTTTTTTAATTTAATGAAAATTTCAATATAAAATAAACTTAATAAATAATAAAAAATACAAAAAGCTTCTAATTACATTTTTTTCTTCAATTAACTCATTTCATATTTGTTTTTTTTGCCAAGAGTGAAACTATTGAATATGACACACGCATAGCCTAAAACCAATTATTTCAAAAGTAACACACTTTGGAGTTTTTTATACTGAATTATGATAACATACTGCAATTTCAAAGTTTTGCGTTAAAAAAAATACTTACCGAGGCAAATACTTCTAGATTTATCGTTTTTTGTGGAGTGATTTCCATTTTTAATTTGTTTGTAGTATTTAAGTTCATAGCCAATAAAAGCATTTTTTTAAATTTTATACTTTTCGCGGTCCAATCAACACTATACATAGCAAACTGTACTACATTTATCTGAAAAATGTGTGAAATATAAATTTTAAAAGAAAAGCTATTTAAATTTATGGATTATTTTTAATTATGTCATCATAATCATCATATACTATGATAATATAAAAATCATATTTATTTATAAATTACAAGATTATTTTTCCTAAATAATTTTAATGATTTATGACAATATCTGATGATATATTTTATTTGAAATATTTTTACAATATGTTCACAAAATATCATCAGATGCATGAGCATATTAAATACTCAGCAAAAACGCCTATATAATTATATCACTAATAATACAGATCAAAATAAATGTTGAGTATGAGTTTTTAATAGAAACTCTTATTACTCGTAGATCACAAATGATGGAATAATAAAATTTAACTTGAATAATATTAGCGTATAAAATAATTAAATAACGGATTTAATCAAAATTAGTTTGTTTTCAGTCTGTTTTTTGTTTGAAAAATATAAAATATTTTTAAATAATAATTACACATAAATTAGAGACGGGCGGTGTGCCTGAGTTGGAAACCGACTAAGATTGATGAATATAATGTCTCGGGTTCGAAACTCGGTCGCTAATTTCTTAAATAAAAAAATTTTAATTTTCTTCGATTTTCTACTTAAAAATATATATCAAGTAAGTTTTTTTTAAAATTAATTTTCCCTAATTTTTTTACATATCGTGTAATAATGATAGCTCATAAGCTATATTAATACAATTCGAAGCGACAATAATACATATTAACCTATACCTACATTCCCATTCATACATAATATTTTATTATGTTATTTATATCAAATCTGTACTTAATAATAATTACTACTTATGACGACTACTACTAACTATAAGTTTCACCTATTAGTAATTAATATTACTCTATACCCAACCACCCGCCCACCCACCTATTATTTCTACTATGACATTAGTCATAGGTAATATAGGTGATCGGCGCTACTGTATATAAATGTTATTTTTTATATGTATAAATTTTAAACATTACAAATTAGTATCTATAAAAATGTAATGGAACGTTTAATAATTACAATAATTAATGAACATTTTTATTACATGTTGAGCAAGTTACCAACAAAATAATATATAACTTATTTTACAATTATTTAAAACTTTTGAAATTAAATCAGAAAAAAATGAACCTTTTTCAATTTTAATAGTTGAAAAAAGGATCACTAAAATACATTACATGTATTAATTCAATGAAGAAAGCATTAAACAGGGCTTAAAAATAAAATTATATGACTTAACTACTTGGACGATTCTCGCTAAGTTAGGTTTCATTTATGTTAATTCATTCTTTGTAGTGTGTAAAAATTCAAATAAAGTTATCTACCTAAAATCAGGGCTGTCCACAGGTCGGGAAGAACGGGACCCACGCCCCGCGCTTGAGATTTCTTTTTTGGACTCTGCATTCATGCATTTGAAATAATAATTTACATACATTATAAATATAATTTAAACTTTTATTTGACAATATTATATTATTAGTTAAATGAAAGTACGAAATACCTGTTCAGTGTAACCTATGATAATAAAAATCTGTATAGTGTACGAAATAAATTATATATAGAATAGGTGAGGTTCTGATAAAGGTAATAGGTAAAAAATACTTTACGTACATTTACATATTGAAATTTGAGAATTTATCGACTTACAGAAAAGTAATTACCTTCATGCAGAAAGCTACACATTTTTTTTGTAGACCCTGATAAAAGAGTTATTCTCCTGTAAATTCTAGGAACGGCCACAATAAATTGTTATATCAAAACACTTAAAAATGGCTACATATACAGATAAATATTTGATTAAATATTATCAAATTTCATTTAAACTATTTTTATTATAATTTTTTTCACTTATTTACTGTTTCGTACTTTACATAAGAGACGTTATTTGTTCGTTATTACATTTTCAACAAGAACTAAACATAGTTGTTTTTCAAAATATTTAAAAGCAAAAAATAATTATTTATATTAAATTTATGTCAAAATGTAATTACTTGATTATACTCTCTTACTTGACTTTCTAGATAACTATAAAAATAGCACATAATGAATAAAGAGTTACAGTCAATTAATGCTGCAAAAAATAATTTCACTGACATAACTGACAAAACATGATCACTTTTAAAGTAATTCTGTAAATAAATTTCTTATCAATTTATAAAAATTAATTTTAAAAATCCAGGGCTTAAAACCGTTACAAAAAAAGGTAAAACGAATTTTACTTAAAATTTGTAACTGATATCAGTATAAGACTACCAGTTTTGTTAAAAGCGGTTGAAAATTATAGTTTTTTTTTTGAAAAATAAGAAAAAAAAACCAATTTTTGTGATTTTCTCATTGGTGGTGTGGTGTCTGGTCTCCGGTGCAAGCTGGCCATAATACCCGTCCCGTCCATCATTGGCTTATCCAAGATCTATTTTTGATTACCTAACATGTGAAAAAAAGCCACCACCATCTGTAGCATGTTAAGGTCGAGAAAGCGAAGTATGTAAAACTGAATTAATTTTTAGACTGAATTACGCAAAAAAAATTATATCACTATATCGTTAAATATTGATTGGTAGTAATCTAACATTTTTTAATGCGCACTAACTCCATTAATTTGATTATTTTTAATAACAAATCTCAGATCAAAAATTAAAAGTTTCTATCCTCTATGGACATTGTATAGTAGAATTTCTTAATATTCGAATAGCGAGATAACTAAATAGAAAATATTTGGGAGGGTTAATTTAATTTATCTTTTTAATATTCTTATCTAACTGGTAGACTAAATTTTTCTAGTTTCACTAGATCATAACAAAAAAAAACAAGTCATTAAAAATTCAACCCATATTTTTTGGGACCTAGTCTAATACAAAGGTAAAGTTTCGCATATAGACTAAATAATAATAAAATCCTTTTAAATAATATAACAAATATATAAGTCTGATTATTAGGTTACATATAATAATCAATAAATATATTTTAATTAAAAAAATACGTAACGCAACGTAAATTTGGCTCATTTTGATTTGTTATCATTAATTTTTTTTTCATTTTAGTGATATGATTTTACTGTTTAATTCAATATAAAAATATTTTATACTCCTATTATATGTAGAGATATTTAATTAAAAAAAGTTTCGATTTTTTACAGTAGCGTAATTTTGAGATATATGTCTAAATTTCCAAAATTAAGGGATTTTTTGCTATATTTGATGTCTATAAGTTCCACTAGAATTGGTCCATTGAGAGCTGAGATTTTTATAGACAGATATAAAAAAAAACACAGAATCACAAGACTAATACATTCTTCGTTTTGCATAGAAACTAAAAAAAACAATCAAAATTTTGTTAAAAAATACTACTCAATTGTGCGAATTATAAAAATTTATTATAATTGTAAAATTCCATTGTTAAATTCAAGTGAAACACAAAATAATTTTATTTAGACGCTTAATACAAAGAAATAACATTTATTAGATTCTAAAAAGAACAATTTATGCTAATTCAAAATTGAAAGTCACTTTCCTTAACTTTGAGGAGGTAAAATAATCAAATGAAGTTTCAATTTATATTTAATGTAAGTTAGATTTATGTAACTTTTAAAAAAATTGGTGGCCTTATAACTATGGCAAACCCTTATAAGTTATTTAAAAATAAATAAAAAAAAAATAAAATTTCACACAACAGCATTTTTTTAACTACGACAACCATTTGCACTTTTAAAATAGGTCATCACGACAATTTTTTTTTAATATATAGTACGTAACATAAGCTTTAATTTAATATAATTTTAAAAGACGCAGTATTTCCGGAACATTTTCAAAAGTTATGTTGAAAAAAATAATTTTTGTGCAAAAGTGTCCATTTTGAATACCCCATTGTGGGAAAGTAAAGGGTCAGGATTTCAAAAAAATTATATTAGATGAAAAGAAAATACATACACTATTTATTTAAAAAAAATACTTTTGATTGATTCAAAAAGTTATGACTTTTTAAAGAAAAAAAAGTTAAGGTCCGGTAGGAGCTGAGAAAAAGTGACAACAGATATAAAAAATGAAAAAAAAACACATTATACTAAAATTAATACCTTCTCAGCTTCTTATCAAAACTAAAAAAATTGGTTTTAATCGGTTTCAAACCCTGCAAAAATCACTTAATCGGTAAAGTTGTCATATACATACCAGAATAAACATATATGTTAGACCAATAAACACATTGAAACTATATCCAAAGCTATACATTGTCATCGGTTTCATTATTTCATAAAATTTCTTAATTGAACTAATAATAATAATTCAAAATGTAACACCTAATTATTAATGGAATTATCTACCATGTTATGAATAACATTTTATAATGCATTAGAAGACAATAAGAATATTTATTTATTAAATTTGAGAATTAATCATTGTACAAAAATACAAGAAATGTTCATAACATGAAGATAATAACGAATGTAAGATTTTAACAATATATAAAAATAACCCATAATTATTTTAAAAAATAATAATAATTTTGTCACAAAGTAATAACAAATTTAAAAGCTTTTAATCAACTTACACATTTAACTTTGTATGGTCCGAAAGTAATTGTTTCAAATTAATCCTGTTATTAATATCGTTTCCCTGTCCTATTTATAAAATAAGTAAACATTATAAGAGATAAAAAAAAATTTGTTTTCCTTCAGTGTTATTAACAAATGTTGATAAAATAAAACATATTCATAATTATTTTACCAAATTCATTGTTCTTGCATTCAAACGATTTGCATCTAAAGGCAATGATATTCAATTGAGCAGATAACATCCAACAAAATTTCATAACTATTGTATTGTAGATAATTAAATCAAAAATGACATGTATTATTTCAATAGCTTCATATACAAATACAATTGGGTAAATTTTATCATAAATCGAAATAGGTATAAAACTTAAAACTGAATTTACAACATTGTTTCGGTAAATTTCAAGGCTGCCATCTCTTTTTTTTAAAGGATATTTTTTTAGAAATAATGGATTAAGGATCCAAACTAATCCCCCCAAAAGATTTATAAAAATGTATGTGTTTGTTATTTTAGTACAAATAGATTTGTAGCGTTCAAATATATATTTTCCTTTATGACTAGAAGACAAGAAATCGCCACTCGTTGCATCGAATAATTTTCTTAATTCATCATATTTTGTGGAAAGTCTATAAGTGTTGACAAATATTTGAATGGAACACAGTACTTTTATACATAATTGCACAGCTGCAAAAAAATCGTTTATCACATAGTACAAACCAATGAACACATAGCAATTGACTACAATAAATTCCACTAATAATAATAGAGCAAAGATGTATTGGAAAAAATTGAAATTACGAATTACATTCAGATTAAAAGGGTTAAAATTACAATAAAGACTTAGAATTCTTAATGTTTGATCACTTAGAACAATCTTCTCTCGAATTTTAGTTTGCATTTTACTTCCGAGTTTTGTATTCTGCACTTAAATAGGTAATTGTGCCTAAAAAAATGTATAAATATTTAGACAAATTATATTTATATCAAATAATATGAACTGTTTTTTTTTTACTATGCTTTATGTAAATTTTAAAAGTATAAAACTTATTTAGTTTTTTTTCTCAGGAGTTAATAGTATCCTATATTCTATAATTTTCAAGAAAAAAACTGATTCCTTCTCCCTTCACACACGTTTATGTATAAATTTTTGAACCCGGATTTTCAAAATGTTTAGAACTTTTATACTATGACTTTGTTGCTTACACAGTCAAATGGTGTATTTGTTGTAACCGCCTCATCAATCAAAATAACTGGACGAGTTTCCCTTAAATGGGGAGAATTCCTCAAGCAATTACATTTTTTTAAATCAGTAATTTTCGAAATTTTTAAACTGTTTTCATTTAAAACTGTTCTAATATTTATAAAATAAATAAATTAAACATTTTTTTTCTATAAATACTTTAGGTATTTATTTTTCTTTTAGTATATATTTTTTTAAGATAGTATAAACTTTTGAACAAGTATTTTCATAATTATTGGAACTTTTATACTATAACATGAGAAGTAGTTTGGTTCATAAATGCCTAGATATTATAATAATCAGACCCACACTACTCCTCCGCACTAGTTTTAAGTATTGTAAAATATTGGTTCAGAAGTATTTGTCAACCAGAAATTATTTTAGTTATATTATTTTAGCTTTGATGATGCGAAGCTGAGAAGACTTTCATTTTACTAAAATATGATTTTTTTTTTGTTTCTGTTACCACTTATTTGTAATTCTCACAGACCGATTATTTTAAAAGATCAAAAATCGTGTCTTGTTGAAAAAACCATTAAAATTGATAAAAAAATCTCTTGTTCCTCGTAAATAAGGAAAATCCCCCAATTCATTAATTTACGAAATTTTTAAAAATTTTTTTACTTAAAATAGTTTATTTATAAAATTAATTAATTAACGATTTATTTTCTATAAATACCTTATGTATTTCTCTTTCTTTTGGTATATTTTTATTGAAAATTTGCCCACAAAAAGGAGGATTTGAGAAATTATTGTTTTCTTCAGATTGATTTTCTGTTTAGCTATCTTCTAAAAAGTTTAAGAACCATTTAGCTTTATCAATGGGTCACTACGAGGCAGTGATGAATTAAGCGTACGGGCAGGATGAGCAGCTCTTCGTATCTAAATGTTTGATATTTATTTGTTAAAAAGTTCAATATTACGTCTTGATCTGTATTTAAGATTTTTAAATATTAATTTATAGTATTTAAATTTTTTTGGTAACATGTTTGTTTATACTGGTTTTAATGGGTTGATGTGAGCCCAATATATTATTCTATGGCATTATAAAATATTTTTATTTATTTTTCTCAGTAGTTAATAGTATTCTATAATTTTAAAAAAACTTATGTTGACACTATTTTAAAAGGACGAGAGCAGAGACAAAAAATTTTTATTTTATACTTTTAAAAATATTGCATGAGGTATAATAAATCATTTTGTATTATACACGGTGTTAAATAAGTAAGGTAAAAGGTTTACACTTTTCCAATTTTTGGTAACTATTCTTTTATATCTTACTTATTGAACACCAATTATAAATGAGAATATAATTTCTATTCCTTTATAAAAGTATTTATATTAAAAATTTTATATTATACAATTATGAAAAATATCATTTATATTATTTATATATTAATAATTATCATTAAATAAGACCCAGCACAAGGGAGTCGAGAAATGATTGACATTTAAAATCAAAAGAATATGTAAGTACCATAGTAACTTTGATGTCTATTTTCACCACGAGTTTTAAGAAAAAAAATTGAAAAAATTTCGAAAATTAGCGATTTTTAAATTTGTAATTTTTTTGGAGATTTCCTCCATTTACGGGGAACGAGGGAAATTTTTTCAATTTTTGAGTTTAATGTCTTCGACTAGATACAATTTGTGATCCTTTGACGTTTCGTTGAAAGAAATCGGTTCGGTGAGAACTGAGAAAAAGTGGTTACAGGCATAAAAAAACCCAGCACAGTGGGGTCGCGGCATAGTGGGGATGTTGCATAGTTGGGTCCAGTATAGATTTAATCTGACAGTGATTAAAATCACTATCATAAGAAACGCTTCGATGCAAATCAGTAGATAGTGTTTAATTCTAAGAAATTGGTGGATAATTACAAAAGCTACATTATCTGCTAGTTTCTTATTAATACCCTGATTAAGATAAAGTATGTCGAATGAAAAAGGGATTATTAAAAAATATTATTTCTCATAAAAAAATTGTGTTGATTCGTACACTTTTCAATGAGTTATAGCATTATAAAGTTAAAAATGTAACCAACCCAACCCAACATCAACTCCTATTTCCTTAATTATATCCAGATTAGTAATTATTTTAATTATATATTATATAATTTTTATAATTAATTATTTTCAAATTATTATTGATTTTTAATATGTTAAAAGTAATCATTTTGAACCTACTTCTTTTTGTTCTTTAAAGTGAAAGTTTTAATAAAAAAAAAATGAATTTATTACCATAACTTTTAACTCAACTTGCAAGTTTGAAATAAATATTATTAAATAGAAAAAAAT